TTGTTCAAAATTAAGAAATATGTTCAAGTGAGAGTGTTTACACATGCCATAAGATTAACTGTATTAAAGTCTAAAAAATAATCATTTTTCTTTAACAACTCCCTTGAAAAAGACTTATTTAATCTCAATGGAGTTTTTTCCTGGTTAAATAAAGGTTAAATCAAAATTTTTTGTTGTTTTTTATTTCAAGTCAGATGCAAATAAATGACCCACCTGACTTTCTTCTGGGTTGCTGGAGTATGTTGTTTTATGTATGTTTATTGTTTAGTCATTTTAATCATGACCAAACTGCTTATGCAATTTCTTTTAAATGAGCTCAAAGAGAGTTTCCAAAAAAATGATAGAAAACCGATTGCCTCTTGAGTTCAGAGATTGAAAACACTGATGAAAATTACAAGACATATCATTGGGAAAAGTAGAAAACTTAAAGCAGCTGAAAACAGCTCTAAAAAGACACATTGGGTGTGTCATGATGTTGATACAGCAAATTAAGTGAGTTTCATGTTAGAGCAGTCTATGAACAAACATTGGTTCCTCAAAATGACTATGGAGTGTCTATTACCATGGCAACACATGATGCACAGAACAGGATTTCCCTTTTTTCCATAGATTACTGCTGCAGACAGCATTAATGGAAATTAGTATAGGAGCACAACTAGAAACGACAAAAAACAAAACAAAAACAAACTAATACGAGAACAATCAGTACGCAGAAAATAGCCCCAAAAACCTTTTCCTGTCAACTGCACCATCCCACAGAAATACCAGCAGACGCTATTTCACTACAGCTGGCATTAGATCTCTGTCAGGAAAATAATTGTTTTTATCAGTTACTTAGTTACAGAGCGATGTTATGTGTAGTGTTTTTAGAAACATGGTTAGACTACAACAAAGTAAAACACCTCCACAGACAGTCACTTCCTTTTAAATACAGTTTTTCAAAGTGAGGGCAGGAACTATAAGGAATGCACATTTAATTTTATGTTTTCATCTCATTTCATTAAAACATGTTTGCTGCACAGAGTCCTCCAAAACGATAATTAGGAACGAGAGAAAATTTGATCAAGACTTTCAAAAGCTTATAACCTCATTCACTCACAAAATATTTCTATCCTTACACAGGCCCCTTTATTTTCTCTGCAGCACAGTCAGCTGAATACCAGTAAGGCCCATGTGCTTTTGGGACTGAACTATGTGACTGAAAGGTAAAATGATGAAAAAGCTGTAGGTATTTTCCTGCTTTGACTCTCTGGTAGAAAAACATCACCTATACCATGTAGATAAAAAGTAAAGTAAACGCCTTTTCTTGGGAAAATTAAGTCCTTTATGAATTTTCTTAGGAAAGTATTATAATGTGGTACTTCTCTCCACCCCTCCTGCTTTAAGTAAATGGCACAGTCCAAAATAGAGCCAGCGCTCAGTCTGGATTCATCTCTGGATCACACACTATTAGTGGTTTACAACACCTCTGTTCTTTTATATTTACCACTACTGTACAAAATCTGTCATGGGGCCCATAGGCGGAGGAATATCCCCTGATGCAAAGGTTGCAGATGAAAAGGTCCAGCTGATCTGTGATGAGGCAAGTATTGATTACTGCCCCACCAGTTTGGACATATGGCCTTCATCTTTAGGGACCTGATTTTATGTCATCTCGATTATTCCTCAGGTGAAACCTCATGTGGAGAAAAAAGCAGGGAGGACCTATGATGTTTTTACCGCCAAGACCTACAAGACTCAGGTGGTTCAAGGGACAAACTACTTCATAAAGGTGATACTTTTTCTATGGGGGTGATTTAAAGGCAATTTCTGTAGCTGAATTTTAGTCCTTGTCCTTGATTCTTCCTTAAAATTTCTGATTCAGTTGCATTAACATTCAGTTGACCGAATAAGAGTTGAAAAGAAATTGTTACGGCTGCAGTGGGTCTCTGCTTTTTCTTCTTTTAGGGTCCTGGAGGCAGGCCTTCTGCAGGTGTTATGTTTTTTCCCTGATTGGTGCTCTGCTGCTTTAAAAGCTGTCATGCTGCAGCAGTCAGGAGGCTTTTTTCCTCCTCTCCCTCTTCAGAAATTCAGTTGGTTTGGTTTGGACCTTATGATTGAGTTTTGTTAGGTTTGTTTTGCGTTTGTTTATTTCTAATTAGTTATGGGTTTTGTATTAATTTGTTTTGGCTTCTTATTTCAGGTAATCCTTTTTCAGGTTTTACTTAATATAATTTCATAAATTTCCTTTTTCATTAACTCTAAAAATCCTTGTGTGGTCTCCATTAATGTTACCCCACCAAACAAGCCAGGTGGACGTAACAAAATCTACTTGTTAAGTTATTGTACTGTAACTGAAAAACTCAGAGTTAAATGAACTGCTTTTGTTTATATTATGAATTAGGTCCTTTATATTTAGTTTTTTTTACATTTTATTTTATGGTTAGTTTTGTTTTAGCTTAATGGTTAACAGTTTGCAGAAGTAGTATTTCTTGAGGAGTTTGCACATTTTGTCATGTTACAACCACAAGTTGTATCTATATGTTGTGGTGCCCTGTGAAAGTATTCTGTTCCCTTTTTTCCACGTTTTGCTGCATTTCAGGCTTCAAACATAAAGTTATAAAATAAAAACACTGGGGCATAATCATGAAGTGGAAAGAAATGTATTGAATATTTTAAACTTCCTAAACAAATAAAAAACTGAGAAATTGAGTGTGCAAGATTATTCAGGCCCTTTGAGGTAATACTTTGTATACTCCTTCCATTTTGATATAACCACCTTTGGCTGTTTAACGCTTCTGGAAGAAGGGAGCGGGAGATCGACAGGCGGATTGGTGCAGCGTCTGCCGTGAAGCGGGCGCTGTACCGGTCCGTCGTGGTGAAGAGAGAGCTGAGTCAAAAAGCGAAGCTCTCGATTTACCGGTCGATCTACGTTCCTACCCTCATCTATGGTCATGAACTCTGGGTCATGACCGAAAGAACGAGATCGCGGATACAAGCGGCCGAAATGGGTTTCCTCCGTAGGGTGGATGGGCTCTCCCTTAGAGATAGGGTGAGAAGCTCAGTCATCCGGGAGGGACTCGGAGTAGAGCCGCTGCTCCTCCACGTCGAGAGGAGCCAGTTGAGGTGGCTTGGGCATCTGTTTAGGATGCCTCCTGGATGCCTCCCTGGTGAGGTATTCCGGGCACGTCCCACCAGGGGCAGGCCCCGGGGAAGACCCAGGACACGCTGGAGAGACTATGTTTCTCGGCTGGCCTGGCAACGCCTTGGGGTTCCTCCTGAAGAGCTGGAAGAAGTGGCTGGGGAGAGGGAAGTCTGGGTCTCCCTTCTTAAGCTGCTACCCCCGCGACCCGACCCCGGATAAGCAGAGGAAGATGGATGGATGGATGGATGGATGGATGGATGGATGGATGGATGGATGGATGGATGGATGGATGGATGGATGGATGGATGGATGGGCGGACAGGCGGGCGGGCGGGCGGGCGGGCAGGCAGGCGGGCTGTTTAACGCTTGGGAAATCTTTTTCTTTCCAAATCTGGTTTTAAATTTCTCCACAGCAGTACAGGTGCTGGTCATAAAATTAGAATATCATGAAAAAATAGATTGATTTCAGTAATTCCATTTAAAAAGTGAAACTTGTATATTATATTCATACATTACATACAAACTCATGTATTTCAGATGTTTATTTTGTTTAATTTTGATGATTACAAATGACAACAAATGAAAATCTCAAATTCATCATATCAGAAAATTAGAATATTACTGAAGACCAATAAAAACAAAGGATTTATAGAAATGTTGGCCAACTGAAAAGTATGAACATGAAAAGTATGAGCATGTACAGCACTCAGTATTTAGTTGGGCCTCCTTTGGCCTGTATTACTGCAGCAATGTGGCGTGGCATGGAGTCGATCAGTCTGTGGCACTGCTCAGGTGTTATGATAGCCCAGGTTGCTCTAATAGTGGCTTTTAGCTCTTCTGAATTGTTGGGTCTGGTGTATTGCATCTTCTTCTTCACAATACCCCATAGATTTTCTATGGGGTTAAGGTCAGGAGAGTTTGCTGGCCAATTAAGAACAGGGATATCATGGTCCTTCAACCAGGTACTGGTAGCTTTGGCACTGTGTGCAGGTGCCAAGTCCTGTTGGAAAATGAAATCTGCATCTCCAAAAAGTTGGTCAGCTGCAGGAAGCATGAAGTGCTCTAAAACTTCCTGGTATGTGGCTGCGTTGACCCTGGACCTCAGAAAACACAATGGACCAACACCAGCAGATGACATGGCACCCCAAACCATCACTGACTGTGGAAACTTTACACTGGACTTCAAGCAACGTGGATGAAGTGCCTCTCTTCTTTTCCTCCAGACTCTGGGACCTTGATTTCCAAAGGAAATGCAAAATTTACTTTCATCAGAGAACATGACTTTGGACCACTCACCAGCAGTCCAGTCCTGTTTCTCTTTAGCCCAGGCAAGACGCTTCTGACGCTGTCTGTGGTTCAAGAGTGGCTTGACACAAGGAATGCGACAGCAGAAACCCATGTCTTTCATACGTCTGTGTGTGGTGGTTCTTGAAGCACTCACTCCAGCTGCAGTCCACTCTTTGTGAGTCTCCCCCACATTTTTTAATGGGTTTTGTTTCACAATCCTCTCCAGGGTGCGGTTATCTCTCTTGCTTGTACACTTTTTTCGACCACATCTTTTCCTTCCCTTCGCCTCTCTATTAATGTGCTTGGACACTGAGCTCTGTGAACAGCCAGCCTCTTTAGCGATGACCTTTTGTGTCTTGCCCTCCTTGTGCAAGGTGTCGATGGTCGTCTTTTGGACAACTGTCAAGTCAGCAGTCTTCCCCATGATTGTGTAGCCTATAGAACTAGACTGAAAGACCATTTAAAGGCTTTTGCAGGTGGTTTGAGTTAATTAGCTGATTAGAGTGTGGCACCAGGGGCCATCAATTTTGAACCTTTTCACAATATTCTAATTTTCTGATATGATGAATTTGAGATTTTCATTTGTTGTCATTTGTAATCATCAAAATTAAACAAAATAAACATCTGAAATATATGAGTTTGTATGTAATGTATGAATATAATATACAAGTTTCACTTTTTAAATGGAATTACTGAAATCAATCTACTTTTTCATGATATTCTAATTTTATGACCAGCACCTGTATATGAGAACTGCCTGGTGTGTTCCTTATTCTTCATGATGCCCTATGTAATTTAAACTGACCTCTGAAAAGATCACAGAGCAGTTGCATTTATACAGAGACTTGATTAAACACAGGTGGATTCTATTTATCATCCCAACAACTCTAAAAAACTTATCTTTCTCTCCTAAAGAAAAGTGTACCCACATCATAATGCTGCCACCACCAATTTTCATAGTTTCACAGATTGTGTATTAAGAGTTATTTGCTTTTTCAATTTTGTTACAAGTCAGAAGGTTGACCTTTGGCCTCCCCTGACCGGAACCCCTTCACAGAGCCACTTTGTGTCCTCCTGAGATTTGCAGATGGACTGTGCAAGTTTGTTAGTTGGCTGCTAAAGAAACAAAGTTATAATGGATTGTATTTATTGGTCTCAGAGTATGTGCTTACTATACTCTTTTATTATTTTATTTTATTCTGACAGAAATAAAAATGATTAAAAAGAATATGATATGAATATGAAGAATATAATATGAAAAGTTCAAATGGTACTTCAATACTTCTGGAAAGCACTGATGTATGCAGCAGTAATTAATAGCTGGTAACAATATGGTATGTGGGGTCGATTCAGGTCCACATCGGTGGAGAAGATCACATTCACCTCCGTGTTTGGAGAAAACTTCCGTGTTACGGAGGCGATGCTGAGCTGACCGACATGCAGGTCTCCAAGAGCCACCATGACCCCATTGAGTACTTCTAAGGCTCACAGTGAAGATCCGAGATCAGGCGGACGGCAGTGAAGAAAGCAAATAGTCAATATCCAGCATACAAAGTGCACCTCATATGTTGATATAATATAACAGCTGGTCTTGTGTAAATTGTTTACTCCTCAGTAAATCATGCAAATCACATGTTTCATCAATTAAAATAATCATTTGTAAGCAGTTTGTATCCCCTGATTTCTGCCATTAGTCACATGTATGTTCCTCATTTTTTTGCATGCAGCATGACTCATAATATTCCTCAAAATGCAGACATGTGTCTCTGCAGTTGGGGTTTTTAAAAAAATTCCATCTTCTGCACAGAACAAACTAAATCTGCAGCTTCATCAGGGTTCTTTCAGATTTTAAATCCATGTACCACTTTTCACACAGGCCTAGTTGTAAGGTCGCACTAGCTTCAATTTAAATGTTCATATTTTATCTTAATTCCTATTGGAATGTGTAGCTAATCAAAAAGCACAATCATGTTTCCAATTATGTTGAATGAAGTAAAACTAAAATAAACCCAGTTCAATACCTTTAACTGATTTAAGTACTCTTCCAGCTACTCTAATTAAGTCTCTATTTAAATAAAAAGGATATACTGCACTTCCACTTCTTACTGCAAACACAATAGAAATTGGTAGAGTTTACCTGACTTATGCAGTCAGGGTCATTATTGCAGTATTCCATGCTGTTCTTTAGTCATCGGCATTAAGGACAAAAAATTATAGCAATCTGCAACATGAAGACAAAAAGAAAAAAAAAGCCACAGATAAAGTTGTGGAGTAAAATGAAATCCGTTAGTAGGACAACTTAATTGTGCACTTGAATGTTTCTAGAAAACCAGAAGTCCTATTTTGCGTTTGTCACAAAGCGTGGAAGACAGATCATAAAAACTTTCTACATCTTACTTAGTAGTGTTTAGAGCATCAGTTAAAAAGAAACCAATACAATATAAAAAGACATACCTACCAACCTAAGGTGGAAGACTATTTGTTGTTAAACCAAACAAATCTTAGCTTTACAGGTCAATCCCCTGGCACCATCATCCTATTAGGATGCTTGTTTAGTATGGACATGAGCGCTGATGATCAGAATGTCTGATCAACATCTAGCCTGACCTAGAGTGCTTTAAATCAGTGGTGTCCAAAGCCCCTTCTGAAAGCCTGGATCAGAGGTTTCCCTGGTTAAACATACATGCACCAACTAAAAGTGTCTGTTCAACTGAAATCTTTTGTGAAAGTTGAAAATACTGTTTTACTAAAAGTGATTATTTAATTTTCTTTCAATTTAATATATTTAATCATTGCAGTGGCTGCTGAATTACTAGTAAAAGCGTATTATTTGGGCAAAACGACACTTTAAAATATCGTGTTGGAGAAGAGGAATGAGAACAGAGGGAGGTGTTTGGTATCTTCATGACTCAGGTTTTGATTCAAAACCCATTTTTCCACTGTTACCACTTGTCTGTGTCCCAAATTCATCCAGCTGTCTGTCACTAGCAGCCGCTCCTTGGACGCAACTTCAAGAGGGAAAAGGGGGGGAGGAATGTGAGAAGGTAGAGAATTTGCCCCTTTAAGAAAGAGTAGAAAGCTTTAATCAATAAGCCGTGAATGGATTTATTATTTTCATTCATGAACTACAGCATGTTTGATTTTTTTTTTATTTTCTATATCCCAATTAGAGTATCAACCACAAAAACAACACCCCCTCCGATGTTTAATGATGGTACGCTCCATATTGTTGAATCATGTGATTTACTGACTCAACTTAAACGCCTCATAGACATTACATTCTTGCATTTTGGCTCATTTTTCGCTTACCTTCGGGACATTTAAGACTTGCTACGATGCCGATGTGTGGAGGCACCTCAGAAGTAAAGGAGGCCGATGGGAACGTTCAGCAGATTTGTGATAAAGTAAGAAAATAACTCGCATCTGTCTAAAAACACCAAGAAATAAAGGCAGAAATTGTTTCGGTCCGACTTTCTCCCGTTTATCCGTTTTTCAGGTGAAACCTCATGTGGAGCAGAAAGCAGGAAAGAACTATGACGTCTTCACCGCCAAGAGCTACAAGAGTCAGCTTGTTGCTGGGACCAACTACTTTATAAAGGTAGATATTGGTTATAAGGCTGAATAGTGGGCGAAACATCCTGGAAATCTGCACCAAGTAATGAAACGGTCTTTGTTTTTGGTTCTAATGGTCGAAAAAAATCCGGATTTAGTAGTTTAATACGACAATCTCTAATCTAAGACTTTATCGCAATACTTCTGTCTATAGACGAGGTTTAATTAAAGTCAGGTTATCGGAAAATAAACTCGGAAAAAACATAAACTTTCAAAGGATAATGTTATTAAACAGTACACACCCAGATTAGTCAACTGTAGTTACTGTTTTATCTTGTAGTTGTAAAAAATCAATGACTCCAAGTATAAAAACTGAACTAAAGAAGTTCAAATTGTTCAAAATAATGATGATAGTTCAAGTAGATCTACAACTATTAAACCACCTTTGTTTTTGTGTGTTTGTGGTTATTTTTTAAAAGATGATATACATTAAGAACAAATAAAAAGAAAATAACTGTCTATTTTTTATTCTATAATGGTAATTTATTTATTTCAAATTGTTTGTCCTTTTCCAAAATGCCAAGAATCTCATAGACTGGATTGTATCTTGACGTTAATTTTTAGTTCTTTTCACAGAATCCTAACTAAGGTCTGAACTTTGACTGGGACTTTCCAACAAAACATGCTTTAATCTAAATTATGAAATTTTATCCATTTCTGTATGTTTGCTATCTTCATCCTGCCAGAATTTTTAGTAAACTCCAATTAGCTACCCCCATCGCTGTAAAAAGCAGGGACTGGGAAGCTTAGCATGATACTTCCACCTCCATACTTTAACATGGAGACTGGCGAAACAAGAATGTATAACAAAATGCTAATTATTACAGTGAATTTTGTTCCGACAATCTAAAAGAAGGTCAAGCAGTAACCCCTTTGTAATAACATATTCCGTGAATCAAGTGAGTACAGTACTAACTGTTAGTTTTTATCTTTCTCAGGTCCATGTTGGGGGTGATGAGCATCTTCACATCCGTGTCTGGCAGAAACTGCCGTGCAATGGAGGGGAAGTAGAGTTGAGTGATATTCAGCTCTCCAAGAGCCACCATGATCCCATCGAGTATTTCTGAACAGCTGTATATTCTAGCAGAGCTCTAGGCCTGCAGAATGCTCCCTCAGTGTCGTCAACCTGTTGTTTTGTTTTCTCGCCCGCAGTGATAACTGACATTTTGAGTCTCATGCAGCATAACTTGAAACCATTAAAGAATTGTTTTTATACCCTTTGTCTGAATAAGCTGAAAGGGAATTGATTTGTGTCTTTTCTCTTCCTGCTGCGGCTGCTTACCTAAGATCTGACAAGGTGAAACATCGATAGATAACAGGATGACAGTTTTTAAATTTCTCAATTCTATTAGAACAACTGGAAGAATGCATCCTCTCTGAAGGGTACATGAGCAAATACACACTCAGAAAAAAGTATAAAATTATACCTTTAAGGTATAATTTTACTACTATTTTTATCCTCAGCACTGGGTACTTATGTGCACCCCTATCAATTACCCTGCATAAGTTAAGAATTATATCTTTGGTGACAATCTTGAACTATGGTGGTGTACACCCTGGACAGGTTGACAGTCCATTGCAAGCAACAAAGGGGACACAACCATGCACACACACCATCACACCTACTGTAAGGACAATTTAAAGATGCCAGCCATGTTGTTGGACTGTGGGAGGAAGCCGGAGTACCTGGAAAGAACTCATGCATACACAGGGAGTACATGCAAACTCCATTCAGGAAGATGCCACAATGCAGCCCATATAAATGGATGATAATGATTCTTATTATTTTAAGGTTTGTTTTTTTTCCCCTTAAAATACTATACTACATCCCTTCGTTCTAAAATGTATATTGAAACAGTTACCCTCTAAATACTGTCATCCTTTTTGTGCAGCTTCTGAAAGCATACCTTAAAATGATATATATTATATATTCCCTAATATATATATATATATTACATATACATTTACAACTAGATTAAATGCATCAAGTTATGGTAGTATCCAATGAGCTGACAAGACAGAGGAACATTCACATTGCATACCTCATGCAGTCTGTTTTTTTTAAGAATAGTTTGTTTTTGAAGTTTATGTAAAACTAGACGGACGAATACTATAGTGTGTGATGAAGTTTGAACAGTGTAATACTGTAAATAAAAAGAAAATGGCATGTAGTACTTGATCGCAGTTGGATCTGTCACTAACTAGGCAAAAAGGACGTGGTTCACTGTAAACACTGGCTTCTAGCTTGTAATATGCAGCAAAAGAGCAAAGCTTCCTCTGTAAATTAAAATACCATGTTCTCATTTTGAATGGACCTGCTCCAGTTACATTTGGCCCGAATAAACAACTGTTTAGGCATTTTCAGCTTTTTATTGTCATGATGAAAACCTTATTTTATGCAAAAGCTTACAGACGTTACATCGAATCTAGGCCAGCTGACCAAATTTAGAATACAAAGCTGTCCTTTTCTGTTTTACACAATGAATTGGCTTAGGAAGTCTTTCAAAACAGAATTTCTCTGGGAGCAGATTTTCTTTTACACTTGCTCAGCAGATTCTCTCCATTCCACTCAAATCATTTTTTTTTTTTCAGGTCAGCCCAAAGCGATGCAAACTAAATGGCTGCTATAGGCCACTAGAAAGCCCCCCCAGACTAAGTAAACAATAAACACTTGTTTGCATAAATTATAATTTCGCTACTGTTATCTGAGCAAAAGCAGCTTATTTTTAGAACTGAATTATTGCATAATTTCTAATATATGCAAAACATTATTCCAAACAAAAAAAAAACTATTTATTTATATTATTTAGTTTTGTGCTTGATGTTTTATTGTTTTTTTGCTACGACCTTTTTTTTGTTTAATTTAATTAATGTTTTTTTTTAATCAAATCTTTTTATTCATTTCGTTGTTGCATTGATGATCATTTTGGCACATTCCTGGGGGAGTATTCTAGAAACAAAAGTAGACAAACATCATATGATACCTCTACTATAAACAAATGACATGCTAAAATGACATAAACATATAGTAAACTGTAGAAAGCATTGCCAGTGCTGTGAAGAGTTTAAGGTAGGTTTGTAAATGGTAAAATCATCTGACTGTTGATCGCAGCTTTCAATATTATGGGCTGATTCAGAGGGGCACCATATCAATTTTTGCTTAGGACCTGTTGGGATCCGGAGGCTTGCCCACCAGAGGGCGCCAAGGATCCCTTCCTGGGGATTTGTTTTTCAGTCGGTTTCTGGGTTCTGTCTGCCTTTCTCCTCCAGAGGGCGTTCTGGGTCTCCTGAAGCTGGAACTGACTTCACCAGCTGTTTCTCATCTGCTCATCAGGAGATCAGCATATAAGCAGCAGCAGGACTACACTCCAGTGCCACCTTAGAAGATTACAGTTAAGATTATCTTACTGGAGTTATTTAAAGGGTCATTATAAAAACCATCCATGTCAAGAAATTTTAAAACCTAGTTGGGAAAAAGGGAAAAAGACTTTAAAATCCTTTGGTTGGGAGATACAAAGTGATGTTAAAAATTTTCAGTTATCATCCATAAAAATGAGTGATACAGTTCCTCTGTCACTGGTTCATCCATCTCTATTTAATGAAACCATTGTGCACTTATCATTGTTGAAGAAGAGGGAAAAAGGAAATTTTTCAGAATCTTGCTCAGTCCAATCATATATAGAAAATAAATATTTTGGTTATGTTCAAGTGTATACAGATGCATCTAAAAGCCTAAGTAACAACAATGGGGTGTCATTTATCGTCCCAGAATTTAATATAAAAAAAATGTAAGAGGATTTCTGATGACGTATCAGTGTTTACAGGGGAAATGATGGGAAGTATTTTGGCTTTGAGTTGGATTGAAGATGTTCGTCCTTTAAGAAGTTTAATTTGCTCTGATTCAAGCTCATCGTTATATTCAATTAAAAATAATCATTCCAATAGTAGACCAGACCTTCTATTGGAGATTCAGTTAATACTTTATAGAATTCAAACCATGGGATTAATTGTCATTTTTACATGGGTTCCATCTCATATAGGAGTAATAGGTAATGAATTGGCAGACAGATATGCAAAACAAGCTTCAAAAAACAGTTGCATTGAGATAATGATTCCATTTAGTAAAGAGGAGATAAAATCTATTATAAAACAAAAAGTTAAGGAAAGATGGCAGAAGCAGTGGGAGGAGGAAAGAACTGGTAGATGGCTTTATAGCATTCAAAGGAAAGTTGGGGTAATGAGGGGAACAAGAATAAGTAGAAAAGAAGATAATATCATATCCAGGTTACGTTTTGGTCATACAGGCTTAAACAGTACATTATTTATAATGGGAAGACATCCATCAGGAAATTGTGAATTTTGTTTTTAAGAAGAGACAGTAGAACATGTTTTGTTGTTTTGTCCAAAGTACTCTGAGGAGAGAAGGAAATTAGAATATCGACTTCTAAAGAATAAGTTACAGTTAAAAATATCAGATATGTTGGGATATTGCTCCTCTTCTGAATATTTATGTCATTTATTAAGATTTCTTAAGAAAACTAAACTGATAGAAAGGATTTAGTTGGGTTTTTTTTTTTTTTTAAGTTGCTTCCTGATCCACACTCCTTACCAGTAGGTGGCGGTAATGCACACCAATAAGTTGCTTGTCAACCGCCATTAAACAAGAAACAACAACAACACTCCAGTGCCAGAGTGTTAGCCAGTAATGGTAACAGCTAGACCTGAGCCAACCAACCTGTCTGATTCCCTGACTCCTCTGAAAGCCTGAATCTGAACCTAACCAGTTTTTGTCCTCTCTGCTTCCTAGGAAGAACTTGACTGAAACCTGGAGCTCAAGAAGAGCTTCTCAACAGAATCCTGCCTGCCTGCTTTCAGAAACACATCTGAAGATTAAACTGTCTGAACCTGCCTGCCGGCTCTCTAGAAGAGAGCTTGGAGAAACTCAAGATCTGAACACCATCTAGTCTGAAGTCAAGCCCTGCTGCTGCCTAGTCCTCTGCCGCCCTCAGTCTCTGGACCCTTCTGGTTCCCTCCCTCTGCCGCTCGGCCTGAACCACAGAACAGGTACAGATCTGCACTTCATCTCAGATAAAGGATCATTAGCTTCCTGGCTAATCCAACTGTCCCTCTCTGCAGAGAACCCTGTGTGACCAGTCCCGGATCTGTTTCCAGCATCAGTTATATAACTTTGTGTTCTTTAATAAACAGTTAAACTTTTCCTCTGACTCCGTGTGTGTTCTGCATGTGGGCTAGTAATCTAAATCCCACCATGACAGGACCCAATGGAGGCTTGGGCCGGCCAAAGGAGACTGGAGTTAACATAAAGTCCTTTGATCAGATTAAATCCCATTAGATTTCTTTCTTAAAGCTTTACAATCATTAACATGGTATAAATATGGTGCATTTTAAGGACAGGACATGTTAGCTTATATGTCATTTTAGAGATATAACTGTTATGTTCTCCCCTTTGAGTTTTGAGTTATCTATGTCATTCTGTTTTGTTCAGTTTATTTTCCATTCTGTGTTCTATTTAAGCTGTGTTGCATTTTTTGAGTTACTCTCTTTTCCCCTAGCTCCCTTCTAATTACTTCTATCCACACCTGCTCCATATTCAGCTCATTAGCCCATTCATCGTTCTGTTCCCCATAGATACACCTGCAGTTCATCATTGCTGGTTTCTTGTCGTTACTTGGCTCTTCATGTGTGTTTTCCTCTGTGTCCTGTTTTTTTGTTTTCTGCATTGTGTTCTTGGATTTTGTTTCCGTTTGCCATTAAATCAGCAAATACTCATCCCTACCTCCTCATCTCTACATTTAGACCCTCAACCTAAATGAAAAGAAGTGATATTGGATGGCTTTTAAAAATCTATTTAAATGTATCTTCATGCGTAAGGATTTCTGCTCCTAATGCTTTAGCATATTTTCTCACAACTAGAAATTGAAACACATTTTAAATGTTTTTTATTTTAGAGACCAACATTAGTAAAAAAGATCATGTCTTACTGAGATTAACGTTACATTGTGGGTGATCTGCAGGGTTAGTTCTTCACTACATTTACTTTATTTTGTGATTAATCTCCATGGTGAGGTCCATCCAGTGATTCACACTCATAAAGTGGCAGTGTTCTGGGTTGATATATTTCTCTAATAAACTTGTAAAATGTAATCTACAGTATGACCTCTGTTTTTGCTCCTTTTGTTTTACCTTTATAACTCAACCCAGTGCTACATGAGTTGGGGGAGGTCGT